GCGCCAAATTTAAGCCAAATACAGGTGTGTATGTATATACACCATGCACACCAAAAAAGAACCTCATCCTCTCAGCTTTTAAGGGCTCTAAATAAAAAAAAAAAAAAAAGGCATTTAAGTGGCAATTAAGTTGAAGGAGTAAAAGAGAGCAGGCTCATTCTTGCCTGCCTGACATAATTGAAAGAAAAATAGCTATCTATTAGCAGCTATTTAAACTTAGGTTTTATGTATCACTTTGATTGCATCTCTTAATTTGAAGGCAATGTGCACCAATTCCCCAAAACTGCAGCTGTTATAAACCTCCTTGTAAAAGCAATCCTGCATCAACTAAGAAAATGTACATGTATTAAATATCTTCCTAGAACTTCAGCCGCAAGATTAGAAGACCATATATAACAGATAGATGACAATTGTTCCGTACAAACATTTGGATACTAAGCTTATGCTTACCTGATTTGAAAATCTCATGCTAACATTCCGCTGGTCTTGGGGAGCTACGTAACGTCCGATTGGGTCAATATCTTTAGGACTTACTAATTTGTCAGCTGAAAGTAAAATGTAATAGAAGTAGAAAATTACTTGAGTGCTTACTGCAGCTTCTGTGAAGGAGGCATGCAAACATTTTATGTTGTCAGTTCTGCTGCTATAATCTTTGCTTTAGATCAGTGATTTACAGATTACAATGACATTCTGAAAAATTATATTCATGTTAAAACTAATGACTCAAACGCTATTGCTACAGCTAATTATAATACTGTAGTATATAAAAAGAATCCTTTATTTTTTCATAGGGATGCGTTAAAAGAATATATGCAGACAACAGACTCCACAACACACAAGTCACATAAAAAGCCCTCATCAAAAGTTGTTCAGCTTTGAAGAAATGCAGACAGCCTCTATCTCACGGTAATGTCATGACTATGATCCTGAAAGCAACAAGAAATATGTCAAAGATTTGTCTCTATAGGGTATCTCAAGAAACTGTAAAAAAACAAAACCAAATTAAATATATTTGAAAGCTAGCAACTTCTGCATGGAAAAAACCAAACCCAAACAAACAAAAAAATTCCATTATTTTAACCTTTTCCTGAAAAAAAAATCAGGATCTCCAATAAAAATATACTATTAAAAAGTTTCAACAAATGCCTTGAGTAAAGGTTCACAATCTACAGTGAGCTATTATGCCCTTCAAATAAGCATTCTCCTACCAAAATCTCATTTTGACGTGAAACTATACAATCTTCATTTAATTTCTGCTACAGAGGAGGCGACAGTGCATTTTCTTTTCTCCCATGAATGTGAACAATTCCGCACAGATTCTTGAATAGCTCTGCACTAGGACATCAGCTGTTAATCTAAAAGAGAAATAACTCATGACTCCATTAGCTTAATTCAGCTACAATAGAAAACCAATGTGGTCTTGATAATAAAAATGTTTCCACATATTGCACCGTGTAGAAAATTAAGACGGAACTTTGTAAACCTAAACTACGTCCCGGCTCAAGTGGGACAGCACTGGGAAAGAAGAGAGAGCAGAAAAGAGAGTGCAGTGGAAGGAAGAGGCGTGGGCACAGTGGAGGACACCAGCTTGGCAGGTCACTGCGTAAGCCCCGAAGGAGCTATGCCAGCCATTGGCACCTACTAGATAGTGTGTGACCACCTCCTGTCCTCAGCCTCCTGTCGAGAGAATGCTGCCCGACTCCTGCCAGGAAAGGACCCTGTTCCTCTGCTCTGCACTCCTGCAGCAAAGCCGGATTATGAAAAATTACCATGGACAATTTACTAATATACTGACACGTGAAACGGTCGTCTAAGCTCCAGTCCACGCAGTCAGACTTCTTATGCTAGTTAAAGGCATGGAAGTTACTTCAATTACTTGTAGTACTGCGATGTGATAAAATTGATTAACCAAATGATTGCAAGATCAATGGTCTCTGCCTCACAGTTCTTAAAAGCAAGAGCAGTTTCCAGAATACATGTTCTATTTCCACTCTTTTTTACACTGATTTACATTACTCAGTAACTAAAATAGTCAGAATAATTTAAAACGACAGCAACAGACTAACATAAAATTTAAGCTAATTTTCAATATTCACAGTTTTATTTAAAAGAAGAATCTCAGGGAATGTTCATCCCCATTATTGCAAATAAAAGTGTAAGGGAACGTAAAACTTTTCTTTGTTAGCTCATTATTTGCATCAGCCACGGCTGACAACGTTGAGCCATCTGCTCCATGCTGTAGAAAATACTGCTAGAACTATCAACTTTGTTCTACGCAGCAATGAATCCACAGAAAAGGATATAAAAGTTCTAAGGAAAAGCACAGGACATGTAAGACAGCTACTAAATGGAAGACTAAGCTGAGTGCATTTCCAGTTGCAGAAGCATAAGCCAGCTGAACCTGTCACTCCCTTCCCTTGCTCTCAAATGGGCGCTGTACCATAAAGGCTTCACAAAGCTCCTCAGCAAGAGTAAGACAGAAATTCCACAAAAAACTGCATCAACATCTGCAAAATGCATGCTTATTTTCTCCATAAACAATTTTTCCAGTTGCATCGGCATCAGGTGACTTCCAGCAGCCATAGGCAGACACTCTCACCACCTCTGTTCTTCAGAGCCTTTACAAGGAGGATCAAAATTGTGATTGCACTACTTCTGTTTGCCCCTCTGTGAAGGGCAGCAAGATGTGTAACAAACTAACTCAGTTTCACGCTGCTGCACTTAGAAAAACTCGGACCACAACAAGTAGACACCAGGCCCACGGGGAGAAGAATCTGAGGAGGTTACACTGTCTGCTGGCCTACATGGAACAAGCAAGGAGGCTGAGCAAATACAAATTAACTGCCAGCCTTGAGGCAACACGGCAGTTTCTGGAATGGATGATGAAATGGGAAACCAGCACCTTCCCAGAAATCAACGTGTTTGGAATCAGGCTTCCACTTAATTAACAACCATCAATAAGCCACGTAACATTTGGAGATGATCACTGAAGACAAGATAGTTATTCTGGTAGGTTTTCACCCAGAAAGGAGTAAAATGAAACGCACCAATTATAAATCAGTAAGAATAAATGGAGTTCCTAATCAAACCACCATTGGTAAATAGATAAAATTTCCAGACCTTATTTGCAAAGACTATGAGAGACAAGGAAAAAAATATTTGAGGAAAAACGGGAGCAATGAAAAGTAGTGAATACACTCTAGAGAAGGTTTTAAAACAATAAGGGAAACAGTCGCTAATTACAACATCTCAAAAAATATTTAGCAGAATTACTTAAAAAAACAACTCTGTAAGACTGTGAATCAAGAGAAAGAACTGAAACAAAAGAAAAGAAAGTTAAGGTACTCAAACATAGAAATATACAAATATTGGTATAAGATGAATGATGAATACTAGCAGAATTGTTAAGAGTATTCCTGCACAGAGATTGAGGATTACTTGGCTAACACTAAGAGGTTAATTTTTTTTTTCATTAAAGGTGAGATTGCCTGCATATACTTTACAGTGGTGGCTAACAAAGGCATTATGCAAGGAATGCAGTGAATCCAGAACAGGTGGAGCTCCAGACCGAGCCTGTTCTTCCATACCTAAAGATACAGACGCTGTTCTTGACAAGTCTAGAATCTTTCAACCCCCTTCAATGTTCCTCATTTCTACTACCTACAGCCTGTTTCCCTTCACAGTGTTCACAGATAAAAGAAGGTTTTAGAACTCAGTCTGCTGATTACCAGGTAAATTCTGAGCATATTAAAATAATGTATCTCTCCTAAAAGAAATATTAAGGGAAACAAACAAACAAACTTAACTACGAAGACTTCTTTGACTTAACAACTGTTCTTGCATTAACCTTTGAATCATGTCAGGTGAGACCATGAGTTCATTTGTGACTGAAATTCATGGTAACAACCTTCAATGGCCAAACTTTGAAATGCACTTTCAAGTGCTCATCTAGTCTCTTCTGTTTTATAGGATAAAAATAAAAAAGACTGTAGAAAATATTAACTTTATCTGAGACTGCAACTATTCAAAGTTTAAACTTGTCTTGCTTAAAGAAGCAAGTAATTTGAATTAAATGCTACAGATCACTTACAAACATCACTGTACAGGTACAGCCAACATAGTTAATCCAGAAATCAACTCCAGTAATGTTAATGTATTTCATCATGAAAAAAAGGAAATAAGAGGGAAATCCAGGAAAACAAACAGAAAAAAACCCAAAACTATTATATTTAGAAGATTTTCAGTGTTCCATAAAACATTCCAGTAAGCTTTACAGTATGCAACAACATTTTAACATAAACAAAAAGCAATTTTTGCCTACCACATATGCATCAAAGTAGATGACACACATACTACCCAAAACACACTCAAAACTCAAGTCAATATGTTTGTTCACATTCATAAAAAACCATTAAATATCCTTCCCTTCGGTTGCGTGCAAACCTGATGGAATCCCCTCAGCCTCTTACCCAGGAGTTTTGCAATGATGTAAACTGCTTGTCCCCACAAGAAAAACTTCCCATCACGTCCATTGTTACTAGGAAATCGTTTCTGGCTGCCAGGGTTTCTCTTCTCCAGTTCAACAAAATCAGATGGCACATAGTAATACTTGGGTACAACAGGACACCCTATGGGTATGAAAATAAGTACAGTAAGTAAACAAATTCCACTTCTGTTATTATATGATTATAGGCCTCTAATAAACGTGGAATCAAAACAGGAAAAATTACATCATACCAACAATTTGATTGAACAGGAAGACTATTGTCTTTTTTATTGTCATTTTTATCTCTCAAAACCACAATCAGTGTAGGAAACCCAGGGCAATATTAAACTACAGTGGCTATGTAGGACCTTACTGTAAAAAAAAAAAAAAAAAAAAAAAGAAAACAAAGCCCTCCCCTAAAAATGAAAACAACCCAGCCCCAAAAACTTTTTCAACTAAAGCAAAATGCAGTACAGAAAAAACATAACCAAGAGAAATGAAAGCTACATCACAGTGAAACACTTGAGGTAACTTCCTCTGCATCTAACAGCAGCTCACCATCAGTCAACTTCTTAAAACTAGTATCTTGACCAAAAGTATTAAAATTAACTAAATTAAAACTATTTTTTTTCCGCAAGTATGCAAAAACAAAACCAGACGTTTAATTTTGAAACATTAGGAAACAAAGTGGCGTAACATCTTCATGGGAAGATAGCTCATCTTGTACCTAGGATTTTGTCACAGATATTACTGATCATTGTAGATTTAAAATCTTTTTTTCAACACTTTAAGTGAACAGGAATCAGGAATTTAGAAACATAATTACAACTGACTGACCTAATTAGATGCAATACAAAAGCAAAGTAATATGCTTTCTGCAAAATTAATTTTCAACTCAGTATCACTTTAATTTTGAATTTATCTGCATAAGGAATAGGTGATAAACGAAATAAAGTCATGTCTGTTACTTATACAAAAAAAACAATTACTGGCAAAAGGCTGAGAAAAATTGAAAAGTGAGAGTTATTGACAGATAAAATATTCAAGTGAGCGAGGTATGAGAATACACTCAGAAATTTTAGGATGAGACACATTCAACAAGAGGAAACACAGCATCAATTTAGTATCCATGGAACTTCACACACTCACTAATGATCAGAAAAAAGCCATAATCAGCAAGGTCAGAAAATTCACTAAGTAATGAAAGTTGGTAAGGAAATGTTTGCATTTTTTAGAGAAATTAGTTCCTTCAACAAGTACTGAAAGCTTAAAGAAGAAATCAGACTAAAATATTCTGCATCTACTTGTGTAACTGTACCACAGATGTCAAGAATAGCTGACTAAGGATGCTGAGTTTTAAAACTGGATTGTCAGTACATTGAAGCTTATTCTGTTCTCAGACTTTCCTCCCACTCAAACTTATGGTCTTTTTCTTTAACTGAATTTTGGATGGATGTGCCTGTAGGCCATCAATAGCCTTGTCTGCAGTTCCACCAAAATTCTGAAGTGCACAATTTAACTAAGAGAATGTTGGCATTAAATTAACATGTTGCTACTTTCACTGCTCTAAACTGGGAACAATTTCATGTGCACATACCAAATCATTTTTTAAATCTTGTGAAGTGCCAATGAATGATGCAAGTAATTCTCAGCTGTGTCCAGGTAGAACATTGAAATAATCTGTTTGTTGGTAGTTAATATTTTCCAATTTTCCTTCAAATGCGAAGTGAATTTTGTAAATAATGAAACCTAAATGAAGGAGGGGAAGAAAAACTGCGTACAGTGTAAATCTTACATTTGTATCAGTAACATTTTTCCAGGTAACATTACTTTTATTATCACACTTTATGATGCAGCAAAAGAGATGATTTTAGTATTAGTATTTTGCCATCAGGAAACGGTGATATTTTTATTTCTCCTTTGTTCTGACGACAATATCTATTAAGAGGAATGTCAGTATTTTAATAATTTCAGATCAATAAAAAGTTACAGTGTTTTACAAGAATGATTACAAGGATAATACCTTCAGAAGTATGTTGAAGCAAAGGATCCAGAAGATCCTGATATTCTTTTACTTGTGCAGGATTTCCTCTAAAAACTCCTAAAAATAACAAAACAGTATTTGATTTAATAGAAGAAATAACTTTTCCGTGAGCTTCATATGTTCACAAAAGAAGAAGAAAAAAGTCTAGTGTTTCATTTCAGTGACATAGTGCCTACATACTAAATAGCTCATGAAAAGTAGAAGACTGAACTGCAGATCCTAACTTACTGCTACAGCTAAATCTCACAGAGATCTTGAACTGGTCACTCTCCAAGTAGCTTAAATTGAAATAGTTGGTAAGTTACGCAGCTTAGTAAAGCTGTGAACTTACAGAGGCTCAGGAAGTGGACACAGAAAACAGCCCAACTAGCTGTAAATCGCTTCCTTAATTACAGCAGCATGAGGAAGCAGAGCTTGTGTGCCAACATGGAGACAAAGAGGCTGGTTCTACATTGTTAGGACAGACTGCAAACTGACCTGTAAGTGAGTTGCCCAAAAATCCCAATAAATAAATACAAGAGGAATTTGAAGTAGTAAACTCAACAATTCCCCTCCAAAGATTTCTAGAAGGAATGTTTACGTTTCCTGGTTAAATAGGTATTATGTCTTCGGGTTACAGAGTTTTAGAACTGCTAACATACCTTGAGATATTAAATAGAACAGTCAACTCATTATGATACTACTTTGGGGGAGAAACCATACGTTCGGGAGTACTAACACTTGAAGAGTTTTTCTAGCAGAACTTGGTCATTCCATAATGAATGTGATGAATATTGGCATGACCAGTGTTCAGGTCAGCAAGAGTTCTGAAACAAAAAGATGTATCTAAAACACCAAAAGCATTTCTCTTCATCAATGAAAACATGGATAAACTTGTCAAGTCACATTGATATTTTAAAGTAGAACTTTTTGTATCATTTAAAGGGGAACAAGTTAGATGAAAATTCCTCACTGTATATCTTTCAGTCATTTCTTTCCAGGGTTTTCCTTTTCAATGGCCATATTATTAACAACAGCTGTACTGTTTCCCTCCTTACCTCATCCTAGGAAATTACCATAATCCTCCCACATTCAACCAGAAATGTAAAAAAATTTTTAAAAATGCTGTTCAAATATGTCTTATCCAAAAAAAACCAGTCATATTGATTTATTTAGTTCAATCCTTTCCCACAGCTATAGCTGCATATCTATTACCCACAGTCCTAAACAATATCATTTTGAGAAAAATCCCAACAGGAAATTAGTACTAAAGCATTTTTGTATTCTTAAGAAAACACCTTTTGAATCTCTTGCCTTTTGAATTCTGAAAGGCAAAGAAAAATAAGACAAACGAAAATCAAACTCATCCACTGAAAACAAATATACCCAGAAGATCTTTATTAGAAAAAGTTTAGGTATGTTTTTTGTGAGTATGATATATATATATATTGATGTATATGTACAGATGTATGTGTATGTTCAGATAAACTTAAACATGAAAAACAACAAGTGCAGGTATGTTCTTTTGATAGTTTTGTGACTTCTTTATGTCTGTATTTTGATGCACAAAAAAAGTCAGAAACACTTATCTTCTATGTTGTTTTAAGAATATCTAAGGAATTATTCTACTGAAAAGCCAGAGTTCAGTGAAAGCTGAAGTTTGAGTCCTACATAGAAATTTCTTTCAATCCACAGTTCTTCACTGCTCTATCAAAAACCAGATCTTAACAAGTGGTGTTCACTACAAACATCCCCAAGTATATAAAAAGGAAATGAAAACCCTTGCCAAGAAAAACAAATGAAATGAAAGTCTGCACACAAAAAAAAGGTGTTTACATAACACGCTGAACTATTCCAAAATACTTGAGCAGTCATGACGTAAGAGCAGTGTAATATTTCATTTGTAATTTAGTCTTATTGGCAGATGCTGCAGAGAATAAAAATCAGGGGATTACAGGCTATGATTTACAGGACCTTCTCCTTCCACAGTTAATGGAGAACTGTCCCACTGTTACACAGGTAACAAAATCCAGCTATGCAGAGTTACCTAGCTGTTCAGGAGCTGAAAAGGCACTTGCTCTGCAAGTGCATTGGATGGGCAAACCCTCTTTCAGCTGAACCAGGATTCACAAAGTAGCAGCTTGAGTGTTTTGTTTGCTTCTTTGTTTTTTTCCCCAAAGTTTTCATTACAGACATCCAACTGTAACCTACCCCTCCTATTTCATTGTGTTTTTGCAGTTTAAGTCACTTTGTATAGGCTTCAGACTTTGGATTAAGGAAGCTGTGGATTTGGAGATATGTGCACAAAATCTGCTAACAACAGCTCTATTTGATTAAATTGTGGCACAGGAGAAAAGTCAGGGACAGTATGTGCAAAATACATACTTTCAACTTTTTCTTTGTAACACAAGAAGAGTAAACCGCTTCATTTATTGTGGTGCTAACTTCAGCTAAAGATGATTAATTTCTTGTTCTCCCCAAAACTGTAAGTGGGCAGCATTAAATGTCAGTGCCTTTCTCCTCAGCTTTGGGCATCATTCTTTCAAAAACTGTCAAGCATTCCCTTAGAAAAAAATCAATTGTGAAACCTTATTACAGCTTCAAATGCAGTATTTTAATCTGTGGGTGGCCACAGAGGAGTCCAGGTAGATAGCAGATTTCTGTGCCCCTCATCATCTTTATTTGGAAAACATTTCATAAGCTAGAGGGAAAAAAACCCAGATAGCCAGATTTTCATCCACTTACAAATATTTTTGATGGCTGCGGTCCTTATTCACTTTCTTATTCAGACTTTTGTTACACGTGAGTTTTATCTTCTATCCTGAAATAATCCCAAGAACTTTTTTGGAATGTCTCTTAACACAAGGTCTAGGTAGTAGCTTTTTCGTCGTCGTTCCATTCTCTAATGTGCTACTGTGAAGCTCTGATATACTGTGGAAGTTTTCAAGGTGTAAAAGGCAATGCAGGACTTGTAAAAAAACTTTATAAAGTTATTTTATAAAACCAACTGATGCAAAAAATGTTGAAATATAGGGCGTTGGGTGCTTGAGGTTTTTTTAACTCGTTAGGTAGAATTCTCAATGGGGTATTTAACATCACTGCATTATGGTTTATTTTGGCAGTACATGAAAATAATTTTTTATCTCTCCTCTAAGTGCTCATCTCACTAATACCTTTAAAGAACAGCAGTATAAAGCTGTACTTACCATCAATTATCATGAAAATAAAAAACAGGGGGAACTCACACTCAATGCCATCAAAAAGCTGAAAAGAAGAAAAATTTATCAGACATTTCATCAGTCTGGTCTAAGGAAATGTATTTGAATAACCTATTGAATGACTTCAAAGCAACAAAAGACAAATATGAATGCAAAACCATTTTAGTACATTAGTGTTTCATTAAGGTTACACCTTCTTAATTCTATGGGTACTTCAATTGTGCTTTTACATATGCTGTGGCTCATTCTGAAGCAGAGTATTTATATAATCGGTGTTTTATTTTCCACAGAGAAACTATTGTGGGAAAGAAAGGAAAAAAAAAAAATTCATTTAGATGACCCTTATTGATAAATATTGTGGTCAAAAGCAAAACTGTTTTCTATACACTCAGGCTGTAGTCAGCTGTGAAATTAAATAAAATGATAAATAAGTTCCTTATTTGTTATGTGAAATCAGCTGTACCCCAAATGTAAGAGGAAGCACATTCATTACAAAATGAATCAATGACTAACTTGCTGACTTAACAATCTTTTAAAATTGCACATGCCAAAGATGCATGATGCATCTCCTGCACTTGAAGTAATTAAGAATCACTGTGCAATTCAAACCACATATACTGGGGTGTTTCCTCGTTTAGGTGGTTTTCGTTTGGGTTTGTTGTTGTTGTTGTTTGGTGTTTTTTTTTTTTTTAAGTACTGCCTAAACATCTTATAAAGCCCAAATCTGTCTTTATACAGGCCAGCTATTCGTTTACCTTAATTTCTGCTGGTTTATAATAACGTCGTGTTTTGTCCTCCAGTGCTGTTCTGTACCCATCTCTCAGAAATCTTTTAAACCCATATTTTCCTTTCAGTTTTCTAATAATTTTATCCAGTGTTTGATTGAACAAAGCCTCATCATCCAAAGCAAATGCAGGATAACTAAGACAGGGCAAAAGTGCTGCGTCAGTATTCTGTAGGAGAGGGAGAAATAGCACATTACAAATTTAATTAGATTTCTGACAATTATTTGATGCACAAAGACTAACTCCCTAAAGTGAAATATACATTTGGTACATTACCTTTATAAAAACCATAGTACTAGTATATTAAAAGAGCACGCAAAATAAGATGTCTAAAGATGTATAAGGATAAACTACAAGGTAAATATTTGGCATTATGATTTAAAAGAACTCAACTGACTCAGAATCTGACTTACTTTACAGTTGATAATGTATAGAGACAAATGAATACATCCTAGAACTTTGTGGGTTTAGAAACAAAAAATAGCCTTCAGGCTATTCCTGGAGAAAAAACAAACATTTTGACATTCTATGTTCAAAAAGAATCACAAACATTTTAGAAAGGTGCAACATTGAGAAGTAACTATCATTAAATCATCATTTCTCAAAAGCTTCTTCAGGTATACTCTTCAGGTGCTGTAGCAAACAAGCCTATCTGATTTACAATTAAGGTGACAAGGATATAATTTCAGGAAAACAATATGAGAAGCATTTCCCAAGAACCATATGCAACTAGCATGAATTAAGAACACAAGAAAAACTACTAACACATTCACACATTACAGTAGCTTATAATAACAAAAAATTCACCATACTCGGAAATTTATGATAAGCCAACTTTAAAGGCATCTTTTCTAGACAAAAAAAATTGAATTAAACTTCACTTAATTACTTACATGAGACCTTGATTCTCGGGGTAGCAATGAACAGAGAGTCTGTCTGTTACGGTTATGAGCATCAAAATCCACAAATATAACAGACCAAGAGCAACCCTGTAAACAGAACATAGATTTATCTAAGGGCAAGGGAAGAAAGGTTAGCATATCCTGGTGAAACTGCTTAGTTCTTTGTTCTATTTAGGTTATGTTGTAATAGTCTGGTAGCTGGTAATTTTAATCAGACAAAGTAACACAACGAATTGAAAACACTTTGAATTTTCAGATATATTTAAATATAGCCAAAATTAGACATGTTTATCTACTACTGACCATAAATTATATGATTCACTCAAGCTATGAACTCGCCCGTTAATTCTTGAAAAATAATGACTGTATTAAAGACAAAAAAAATGTAGTTGTCCTTCCCTGTGACTGCAGGAAATATTCCAAGTAGTGATGTTGACTATTTCATTACAAGTCAGTTAGAACACAAGTAACTGGATACTCACCTGAGGTATTGCTTGGGGAAAGGACTTCCATAGCAAATAAAAATTACCTACTTTTCAACTACGTAAGGCTACATCATCAACATCTACTCCTTAGCAAAGCCCTTTTCCTAGTAAAATTCTTTAACTTTACACTATATTTGTCAGCTTTTTGATGCTTCCTGTAATACTCAGAAAAATTCCCATATCTGGAGTCAACAGCATTTAACACTTACAATTATTATCAGTAGATGATTTCTTGAGAACTCAAGAAACAATGCAGTTACTTAATAAACAGATATCTTCATATATATTGTAACTGAGAATGAATCTCAATAGCACTATCACATAGGAAGACATATTCAACACTTAACTCATTTTGTTACTGTCACGAATACTGCATGTTTCCAGAAATTCACTGAACTTCTCCTAAAAAGCAGTCAGTTTTTTTGGTATACTATTCAGTTAGGAAGACTATTCCAGAACCCATCCCCTCCAATTATTAAGAACTTTAATTTCCAAGTCAGTTTCTACATAACTAGCTAGTTGTGCTGTGTTTTGTGCCAGTTCTAGCATCCATTCATTTGGCTTTCCAAACAAGAGGTTTTTTCTTATTCTTTAGCTGCACTAACTGTACATAGCTATCATATAAATACTCAGCTTTTGCTTTTCTAGGCTAAACAAAACATGTTTTTCTACTGTCCTCATGGAAAAAAATCTCTCCATTCTCTTCACCATTCCACCAAGAAATACTGAACAGTGCTAAGAAGGCACACAAATGATCACATCAGATTTGATGATTTATTATTCTACTTTCTCCTTAATCCAGATTCTAATTATTCACAAATCTCCAAATTCATCCACAAACTCTGAAGACAATCTTTCTACGTGTGTGAACATGCAGTTTCAAAATCTGTACTTCTGAGAAGGATTCCTTGGGGATTCAAAAGCAGACTAATTTGCATTTCATAAAACCACAAGCTTTTTTTTTTTTTTTTTTTTGAAATGAACTAATTTTCCCTCTGTTGGAAAGTTCTGTAGTACAGACACCTTACAAAGGCTTGGCATTTTTTCCATGCTTATTTTTTTCCACAGACTAAAAGAGGACATGTAGCTTATATACAAACAACTGATTAACCTATGACTAGATCAAACCTGAAACAATGTTGATCTTGTCACTAGCAGCCTCATTTTAGGGTGTACATGCATGCACCATCACTTAACTCATCAGTTCAATAACTCACATAGCCAGCAAATGCACGTCCTCTTATGCAGTTTTTTGATACATATTTTTTTTCCTAAAAAATGTTTTAGCTAAAATGGAATTCTTACATTAGTGATACAAGTTATAATCCACTTACACTCCATGATACAAAGAGGTTTTTAATTAACCCTATCAAGGACACAAAAACAAAGTAAGTTACAGTACTTTTAGCAGTGATGATTCTAAAGTGATAGGTAAAAAACTGAAACACACTCAGCTCATACTGCATCCCAAATGTAAAATCATGCCGACTTTTACAGCTCAGCCATACCAATTTGAGAAGAGCTTAAGATGATACAATGATTTCAGGACTTGGCTATGATCAATGTACAGTTAAGGATTATAACAGAATACTTACGCCAATCTCATACATATTAACTGCTTCATATAGATTCATAACTATTGTTATACATTGAGAATAAATGTAACAAATATAGGCTAGGATATAAAGCAAAATAGTGAGAAGCTAAATAGCTTATTTATCTGATAAAAATTCTCTTATCCATGTGCAAATAAAACTTTTATTGAGGGAACATTAGGATTACAGCTTTACTGTATTTTTATGCTTCTAATTCCCACTTTTTATAAAGTACTTCTGGTATGATGGAGTTTAAATTAACAACATTTAAAAACCATAAATGAACTCCTGTTTACAGTCCCCTTCGGTACCGGATTGTGACAGCTTTGTTACAGAAAAAGTAGTAGTATGGTGGAACTTATTATTTTCTAATGTTTTCTAGACTTCGGGAAGGGAGGGGAGGAACAATTTAATGTGAACATCAGCAATAAATGACCTTTGATTTCTCTTCTCTGTGTGCATCCATGAATGCACACGGAAACTGCCCCAGCACAATATGCTGAAAGATTGTAACACACATGCATATGTGAGAGCACAGCTATACTACTACATATTTGTATTTAGTCTCTCCCAGCATACACAGTGTGACTGGAAAAATCTGCATGGAAAAAACTGAGCAGTCTGTTGTCCCCAGCAATGATTTATGCAGGTTGCACTACTGTAGTTGCAGGTGCAAACAAGTTTCTCTTGAGGGGCTCAGCAGGATTTCTCAAAGCTATTGGAACACAGCTGGAGCCAAGCACAAAGGCAAACTGCTGTAGACTGAAGGTCAAAATGGTTTCTGCTTATGCTAAACATCTTGGAAATAATCTCTCAAAGCATTTAAACTGGTTTTGCTTCAGCAATTTATTCACCCATTTCAGAATTTAGTAAAAAATCATTGGAAAAACACCCCAGCAGCTGCATTTACTGGTGCTTGAGTCTGCTGGGAAGGTAATGACTGTAGATAATTTTTTATTTTTTCTGAAATACCGAATATGTGTGTATTATGTCCGATTAGTATTTAAGATCCTTACTAGCTCCTAGTTCCTAGTATATAACATCAGCTTTTAATACATATTACATCCAGTAAAACAAAACTAGATCAAATGGCTAAGTCCTTTTGAAATGGTGTGTTTGTGTATGCATAAAGAGCACTTGCCTACTTCTCTACTCATGGGTAAACAGCCATCAATATTTTCTGAGGAGTGCATTCTAAACAGAACAAGTCTATTGTACTACATACAGTACTAGTACAACTATATAGATAAAAAAAACCCTGAACAAAAAAAAAACAAAAAAACCCCACACCTCAAACGACCACAAATAGATATCCACAAAAACTGTAATGGATACCTAAGACTACAGAGTTAGAAATCCTTATTTAGGGGGATCTCCAGCTTTATGCCATAAAATGAAGAATGATCCAATAATAGTAAATGGTATATCTTGTACTTCTATGTCGGTTGCTTACTGTTTAAAACAAACTGTAACTCACATTTTTCATCCCAGGCATCTCAATAGCTCTAAAAAGGTCAAGTTTAACATCTATTTTTTATGTGGATAAACTATAATGAAGAACTTTTTTGCCCAATATTGCTAATAATTGTTTTATATGACTGCTTCGATCCATACCTTCTATTTTACCAATAGCAAACCACTGCATTTAAACAAGTTTCTTGAAGTTGAATCCTCTCAACAGACAAATACTATATAGAAGTCAGCTACATTTGACTTGCAAGAAAAAAGGAGAGCACAGGTATTACAGAAAGAAAAAAAACCACCAAAACAATCCTACCTCGATGCCAGCAAGAATATACAGAAACTTGACTTGAGAAATATACAAATGCTCTTCAAGTCAAGTTCACAATGTGAAATAACCCAAACTCAAAAGGATCATATACTGTCTATCTTCAGGGAGAAAAATAAGTAAGTATAAAATTACACTACTCATGTAAACACGTGTCACTCTTTTAAACTAATTTTCAAATGTTACTCAACCCTAAGAAAACTTACAGCAAGTCTCATCAAATACTGTTACTTTGTTTTATATACAAAGGTTTGGGCATATGAGCCAGGTTCACCAGCTACTAGTCAAAAAGGACAAAAGATTCCAAGAAAACAGTGCAATACAAAACCTCTGTGCACTGAGCTTGCTAATTTGTGACCAACCTATCCTCCCTTCCACACAGCTTACAGAAAAAACTCACCAGCAAGTTTTATGACTATTTGTTATAAGTAACTCTTTTACATATTTATACATCAAGTGATATAACAGTTGATGCTATCCAACTTTTTACCCTACCCTTCATTTCCATTCATGAGTAACTTGACATGAATGAAGTATTGTTCATGATAGCTAAACAGTGACATACCTCTTCCACCTACATATTTTGCAGACCCTTAATTTGGAAGAGGATTCTTTTATTTGAGCCACAGACTACTGCAGGTGTAACACCAAAAAAAAAGATGCACAAAGAAGGAGAATACAAGTCCAAGATAAAAATTTAAGAAAAGGCTTGCTTCCCTAATTGATCCAAGCCATGTGAAAGGATGGGAAAAGATTTTACCGCTATGCAGCGTAATGAAATTTAAACCCAGTAAAACAATGGGATTATGAACAAGTAGCTTGTTTGAAGCCTTTATCAAAATCCAGGTGAAGCAGGAATACAGAAGTATAGTACTGCTTGTAGGTAGAAACATACTGTACTGTAATCAACAGGTACAATTCTGAAAGAAAAACCTTTTTTTGGCAATCAATTTCTTTCTCAAAATAAACTGCTATCATTGTAGAGGTTTTTTGTTTGTTTTAAAGAAAAAAATAATTCTTGATAGCAAGTGCTTTTATCCGATGAATTCTGTAGCTGGAACAGGGGCAATCAGTTTGCTAACTGACTTTTTTTAAAGCTGGAACCTAACAAACCATGCTAGATATTTCTAAATATCCTCTGACCCATAGTGTGAAACATTACTGCTAAAACAAACAGGAGAGAAAGAAACATTTTTATTACCTGATTTCCAAAGAGATTGAAACCATTAATTGCTTCTAAAGCTGCTTTGGCCAGTCCCACGGAACTGAGGAGAAAACAAAACAACAACATAAAAACAGAGGTGTCATAATTCAAGCCAGACTGAAATGTAATACATTTTACAGCTTTTAGAGATACTATCTTTTATTTATTTTAATTTTACACTTAACCATTATGTTCATAAAATGATGATGCAGCAAATTTGGGTGTTTGGTGGCAGGTTGCTTTGACTGGTTTTTCCTTTGAAAAATGCTTTTCAGCATTTTTATTTGTCTTCAAATGTCAGAGACCATCTGGAAAAAGCATTTCTGCTCTCACCTTGCTACTAGACATCTGGCATTACGTATTTTAAGGTCTTGCTAATAGTGTATTAACACAGGATTTACTTCAACACAATTTTTCAACCCAGCTCTCAAGCATTAATCTTTAAGAGACTCATTGCTTACTAGCTTTTGATATAATAAAAGAGTCATCAATCTGGATTCAGAAGAGGAAGATTTTCTGACATCGATCATATAGTGAAATACCTTTTATTTCACTTACTCCATGACTAGTATACATCACAAAGAAAATCAGACCCAGAAATACTACCAACAAGCTTTCAAATTAAGAAATTAATGTTTAAAGACATTAAGCACTAGAACTCACTAATCATTATATAATTTTAGAATCAAATCATATACCAAAATATCATTTATTACTGACTGAAAATTATAGAGCATGTATGAAAATATACACAAGAAGACCTTTACAAGGCCTTTGAATTGGAAAAAAAAAAGTTGTCATACTTTCCCAGGAATATTAAAAAAAAAAAAAAGGGATAAAAAGAGAAGCAGTATTCTCTCTCAGGGCACATACTTTTGATGATTTTTAAAGAAATTTTTTTTTTAAGAAAAGCTCAAGATAACTTAATAGAAATCTACACGCACTTGGCAGGCTTATATGAAAACTGAAGTATGACAGCATAATTTTATAATACTGTTTTAAAGAATACATAATTATAGATAGGCCAACTTCACATGTATCCAACTGCAGTGCTAAAGCATTAACATACACAAAAAATGCTAAATTTTTGCATATTGATTCCAAAGTTCTAGACATTAAGGTCATAGGTTATCAAAAAGTAAAATATTAAATGAGCTAGTTCCCAACAGTGCTAGAGTTTAAAAACTAAGTATATAATTCTGACAGATTTCTGACAGTTCTACTATTGAATACCAGCACTCAAAGCAGGGAAAGAACTTTGTGCTGCTTACTAAGTGGTGACATAAAATTACAGGAACCAGAAATACTACAGAAGTCTGGCTTCTGTGTTTTCTTGGGCCATCTGGTGAAACAGATTCAGAGCATTCAGTTAAAAAAAAAACAAAACAAAATAAAAAACCCAGTGTAATTCTCGCAACTTTATTCACAAAGCTAAAAATGATGCCTTTGGTTCTACTTACCTACAGTGCCTCTGACCAATACACCTTTAACTGTCCCTGCTTTATATAAACTACAGTAGTGATTTACTGACCTCATTGACAACCCCCCATGTGTTCTCCCTAAATGTCTGTCCCAGTTTTGAAGCTCCTCCTTCAGAATCAAGTTTCATGTTTCTTTCTAACTGCCCATTCCTTTAGATAGGAGCTCTGCTTTCCAAGTTGCTTACAATTAATTAGAAAAATTTCTAGTCAAAAAACAATAGGCAATAGAAAAGACAGCAGAATAATAGGAAAGTACAGATGTCTACCTTTTATTTTTAAAAGTTAACAGATCTGAAGACATATAGGAAAAGACCAAAAAAGGAAAAAAGGAATTAATTGGGGTGATATAACAAGATTCAGAGTTTAAAAAATGACCATAAGTGCCAGAACATTGTCTGAGGATACAGATCAACTCTTCAGGAAGAAAGCCTCCAGCTTCAGCAAGAGAAAAATCAGCGGAAAGAACTGAAAGGTTCATCTTTCCATAAAGCCCTTCCCTATAAGGGATGGGAAGTTGTTGACTCTGTTCACAGCTAACAAGCTATAAGAAAATACTTCTCATAAACACCTACACTGCTAAATATGGATGCTTGAAAAGTCTGAATTTTTAAGACCTGGGAAAAATCGGGGCAAAACAGAATATACCAACTAATTAAAGTTTCTGAGCACAGCAATTTCTTTAAATACTCTCTTTAAAAAAAGCAAACAAAAAAGGGCAGAAAGGAGTTGAAAACTTAATAAATCATTATCCACTCAGCCAACCATGCTTTCCTTCTTCTTGCCATCTTTCATTTGGTATAAAAATTATGCAGTACTGCTAAAGAAGGAAGAACAACAAAAATAGCTTGTCAGAGGATCCACGTGCCCAGATGACGAGTGAAAAGCATTGACACAGATAGTCACGATTGTGAAAAATCAAAGCATCCTTAAGGGTCTGAGGGCTGCACTTGCAGACAAATAGTAATAGATTAGTTTTATCTATAAAATAAAAATATTAAGTTACGAATATGTATCACTGAACAAGACGGCCCTAGATATTTTGTTTATAAAAATAATTGAAGAAGCAACACTGACTTAGAAAAAATATTCATAAAATAATCACTAATAATCCCAAACTTTTGTGTAACAGAAGTTATGATAGTATTGAAAAATAACTGCACTATCTGGCTCAAACAACTTATAGCAGCCTGTCAGAAAACTGCTAGCAGGAAATGTGCTTTAACTTTTATTCTTCTACACTCCCTGCAGCATTTTGAGATCAGAGCAGTAAATAAACTGATGAGCACTATTTATTAATGTAAAATGTTGAATTTTGTATGTTTACTAACTAATCTATATTGTAAAGATGGCATGTAATTATGATTGCACAACAGAATAATGGAAAAAAAAGAATTTGTTTACTTTAAGTACTGTTTTTCCTGGATTGGTTTTATCACTAGAAGTACTTCAGACACTGCTTTGACACTCTATCATTCTTTTTAACTATTACCAACAGGTTTATAAACCTCCATCTTTCTTTCTGAAAGATTGCCAGAAATAGGACACGTGGGATTTACTTCTAATTAGTTCAACAAGAGAAAGCTGATTAGGTTAACTAAATTATGCTCTGAGCAGCTGCCATCAAACAGTGAAATCCCTCAGTTCAGTATCTTCTGCTGATGAAAGCTTTTGGTACTGGAGAATGGGATGAAGGAATAAAACTAATTCAGAAGTGTTCTGAATATAATTATTTTTCTGGCTTTGTTTCAAATACCTACACAAAAGTATAATTGTTCTAACAGTTGTTCTACTTTAGTTATCACCTAGCAATTGATCAAACATATTGGTGTGATGACTCAGGACAGAACTTTTCATAGGAGTTAAGTATTATTATCAAACTGAACACGGAAGAGAATGAATATCACAGAAATCCCTCCCCACCAAAAAAAAAAAAATCTGTGTTTACATTAAAATCTAATATTCTTCTTTTCCCTTCAAAGAACACTTCCCATGCCAACAGTCCGATATTTTCGGAGCAGGTGAAAAAAAATTACTGACAAAAGGTGGAGAAGTAGTAGTTGTTCAACATCAATAACTGCTGCTATTCAGATTATGCAGAACTACTCATTCTATCTACAAAATGCAAAGATACTGCTAAAAAAAAATTGAAGACAAATATGGACTCCTTCCTCAAAATACTTTCTACTTTACACACTCATTCTACAATAAGAGTAATACTTATTGTAACTGATCAGTATTTTTCTGCCTCTAGTTATTCAAAGGCCTGGAGACTTCAGTATTCTCACAATACGATGTGCAAATTAAAATAGAAACATCCCAACATTAAAATACTGTGTTCTTTTCCCCATCATGTCATATTTCTTTCCATTACAATGGTATATCAAGCACTCCCTTTACCATACACATAAGTATTCTTAGATTAGTAGAAGCTTCATGGGCAACTGACTGGAGTAATTTTTTTTTTCTTTAAAAAAAACAGAAAAAAAAAAAGGAAAAAACAAACAAAAAAAAACCAACCAAACTGAGAACAGCTGTAGAACCAATTAAGTCTTCAAAAGACTGAACAAGTCACACAACATAACATGCTTCAGAACTATGATCACACTTTAGACACTTGTTTAATTACTTATGCCTTCCTGTTTGACAAATTAGAAAGGAGGTTTTATTATAAAAGTTATGCTCCTGCCTTTCTTCAGAAAATACATTCTTCATACCCTTTAATTTGAAAATACTTTTTATGACTGTTTTAATAGTATGAATTAAAGGCAAAACTTATTTCCATAAATATATTCCTTCCTCCACTCAGCAACCCACTATGAACATGCTGTGTTAGCCTGTTGGCCTCTGTTTCTAGAGAAAAAAAATGCTTACTTGGAGATAGCCCCCAAAACAAAGCCTAACTCAGACCCTCTTTAAATATTCCTCTGAAAAATTCACAAGATCATGAAGCTGGGATATAGAACTCATCTAGTCCAACATGAAATCTCACTTGAAGCAGATATATCTAAGACTGATTCAAGTAAACCATTGCCTCATCCAGAGAAGTCTCAAAAACCTCCAAGGATGGAGATTCTGTAACTTCTGCCATCCTGCTCTGGTGCTTCGATTGAAAAGGTTCCTTTTCAATGTCTCAGGTGCAATCTCAGATCTTATCATAGCCACCAATTATTGTGATTTGTCATGGATTATTAAGGGCAATCTTGCAATCATAATACTATGGGTAACATATGAGCTTGCTTCGCATTTGGGGCGGAGGAAGCTGAGACTAACCTAGAGAAATTATACTTCTAGCTTGCTAAAAAAGCATTGGTAAATTCACTTATACATCATTCATGATTTCCAGTTAGATTCACCCTCCCAGTAAAATACCTGAGGGCAAACACTAAAATTTGCATATTCTTAGCAACTGCTGATCAAAACCACAACTTTTGAGCACATACACCCTTAACTGCCCTCCCATTCACAGTTGCTTGCCTCCATCCAAGAACTGTGCATCAAGCACCACAGGGGATGTAAAAACAAACAAACAGTCCCATAACAATAGTACTAACTTTATAACAAGACAAATCAAAATAGAACCAGGAAGGACAGCAGTACAATACCTACAGTACAGAAAAGAGCAAGATTGAGACTTTAAAGTCTTAGGTTTGGAATATGAAGATACTGCACTTCAGCAACTTCATTATTCTCTCAGTACACATGGGAGACGTTAGACATTTTGCAGAGGTACTCAGCAGATGCCTGGAGAACAGCTTGATCAAATGGTTACAGGACAAATTAATTTTTCAGAAGTTCCGCCGTATGGGAAGGGGATCACACTGTCATAACAGTTGTTATAAATCTTGCCTTTGAACCAGTGAAAGTCATCAATTTGCATACATCAGTGAAGACCTGGTCCACAGAGCGTTTCACTATTTATCATTTATTGGAAGTGGTTTCAATTATACTAAGATAGAAGAGCAAGACTGTGTAAAGATTTACAATATCTGCATCTCCTAACATAGGTCATAATTTGCAGTTATTTTTTGTGGACTTCATATCATATAATAGCTTCTTTAAAAAGAAAGCCTCTTTCAATAAAAAACGAGAATTAACTTCTAATTCTGCCAGCAAACACACGCTGTACGTAGACCTACAGTTGGAGTTTTAAGGGCCAGGAGTACAGCATACTTAAAAGTGAAACTTAAGTGACTGGTTTGGAGTCAGCCCATAACCACTGATGACAGATATACATCATTCGTGACTAGCCCTGAGTAGTTATAATCACTTCTCCAATTTTTTTTAATTTTTTTTTTCTTTTAGAGTTCCCTCAGGTAGATAAACAACCACAGCAGTGCAACAAAGTTTAGTGATTATTTTACTGTACCCAGGGCTTTCTTCAATAATATCTAAATAGGAAAGATAAACAGGTGCAATACCTGTTTCTGATGACCTAAATCTACGTATTAAATTAGAACTAAGCTCTGTACTTTCTGTTGTGACAGCTCAGTGATCTCTTAGATGGGCTCTGTTCATCTCATATAACTTCGCTCTTAGAAAAAACAGCCTATAAATGTTGGCCTAGGTTAAGACAAAACAACATGCCCATTTCTATTTGGTTTAAAGACGTTCAGTTTCCCGTAGAGGAAATTCACATCCTGAATAATCAGAATACTGTAAACAACAGTAAACACAAGAGTTTCAGTGTTCCTTCTGGAAATTTGTACAAGGTTAGTTACAGAAGGAAGTTTATGATTCTGTATGTGAACACTTAGGTAGTATAGTGTTTGACAGTTTTACAGACATAGGATGAAGAAAAGCCCCCAACAAACTAACAAAGCATTTCATGTAATAATAACTTGTAGTTTTCAGTTCTTATACAAGTACTAAAGCTTGACAAAAGTCCTGACAAAAACATTACCTAAATTAAGTGTAATTATATCTATAGATTAAAATACATGCCTGTGTGTGAATTAAAAAAAATATTTCATTCTAAAATAAGAACACAGATTCATTTTGCAATTATCAAAGACTGGAATAAACAAGTGTATTATTGGCAAGCCCATTACAGTTACGATTATTAATGATACTTTACTATACTTTTTTATCTTAAGATATCCAAGATAGTCATTTTTATGATTAATAAAACCTCACAAGTCAAAAAGTAAAGAAAACAATAGGAAGAGTAGAAGAAGCAAGTTGTCAGATTACAGATTTGATCCTTCAAGATAGAATGCACGTGAGCAATTCCACTGAAGTGCACTGGAACCACTCTAACACTAAAATGTTAAGAGCATCCCTAACTGTCTCATGGGCCTTGCAGCACCTGAAAAACGTATAAAAGAACTTGTGCAGTAGGCTGACCTGCACAGCACCCAGCATCTTTCTCCCAGCATGGTGGAGATTAGAAAAATCTAGGCTCATGATTCAACACCTTCAACCAGGATATTCTTACATATTTTTGTGCATCTAATCTACTGCATGTGTCTCAAGAGTCTGAACTATTCTGATCAATTTTCAGAATTATATGCATGCAGCTGCACATAATTATTGGAATCTGAATACTCAATTAGCTAAGCATCTATGTGGTTATTTCAGCATGCATACGATGATGAAATTATGGTTCACATTTCCCCAAAATACATCTCTTAGTCTTTAAAGAACCTTAAATTAATTCAAACAGTATTTTAATGCGTTATTATTTTTCATTCACCTCATGAATTCTTTTTTATTCATATCACGTTTACTTGCTGTGACTGAAAGAGTTGCTCACCTACCTTGAATGCAACTCTATACTGCCATTGTAGTATTTACTTCCCCTTTCCCAGACACCAAAATCTGGTACACGATAGGCTCTTTCCACGCAAAACACAAGATTTTGAATGAATGACACCTAAAGAAAAGAAAGAAAAGTGAGTGAAGAAAAATGAAAGTATATTTTCTTCTGTTCATTATTTTCAAAAAGACGAAGTTGTTTTTCCTCAGTCATCATAACTGTGCCTTCCATCCTCTCCTCCCAAGAGTAATGTTCCCAAGTTCAGATATTCTTTTTAAAACTAGTTTTTAATCACAAAATATTAAAAGCTGTCCTCAAATTAGGTCATGACGTGATTTATCATCACCTGAAAGTTCCTACAAAGCCAGGGATAAAAGTAATTTCATATTCAAGATGTATATTTGAAGAGCTCCCAAAAGGTGGCATTTTGATTGTTTAAAAAAAGTTTTGTCCTAAAATCAACATCAGAGAGCAAAAGAAATTAAATCCTACAAGATTAGGGCACAGAAATCTTGGTGATGTTTCTTAATTCATTTTAAGATAATCGATGTGCCAGAGTTTTATTATATTAGCTCCAGACAGTACATACTTACGCAGATTCGGACATACTCCTTTTTAAATGCAAACAAAATTCTGAACGAATTTATTACAATTAAAATCTCTTGGACCAATGTGCTTCAACTGAACACCGAAGTATTTAAGGACATTTCAGGGTATTTAAAGGTGTATTTAATTATAGCTGGGGACTTATTTAAGCAGGTATTTTTGCCTGATTTATAGTACTGAAAGAGACATTTGGAGTTGCTTAATTGTAGCAACTTAAATTGATTATAAGTTTTACAGTTCAATTCAAAGAATCCAAGACTAGAATGTACAGGAAGTTTAACTAAAACCACTAGATTTACACTGGTTCATCTACCAAAGCAAGGATTTCATTCCCTCCTATCTAAATTACTGAAGGGGTTACTGTGGGAAAAGAAATTATTCTCGTGGCTATAAACAAAGCCATGTCAGGGAACTACAGAGGAGGATCCACTTCACTATAGTCAAGTGGTACTTTATTTTTTTTAATGAGCTATGAGATAAAAAAAAAATCTTTTACTGAAAGGTATTTTCTTCTATTTTAACATGCCTGCATACCTCTGTTTTGTCTTTTTCTCCCCATTTTTCTTTAAAGCTTAAAAAAAATGCTATTTGCAATACATTCTTTATGCTAATATCAGTTCAGCAGTGATATACATAATTCCGAACTTCCTTGTCTCTCTGTATATTGTGTGTCTTGGCTAAAATGTCACTGTGGGGTTTCATGTACAATTATCTGTACCCTAAATCTTTTAATAGTTAGTACTCTCAAAGAAACACAATGTCCCACTCTTTAGACATGCCCAGTATTATTCATCCCTGTAATTAAGCATTTGGTTGTATTAAAATGAACTTTCTCTGAATGAAGCTAGAACATCCAGTGATTAATAACAGTATGGCTTCTCCTATCTCTATCATTAACTGAAATTTGGATACATCAGCTTAATGAAGAAGCAAAGACAACCACACAGCAATGCACAATCTTATCAACGACTTTCTACCACTGATGATGTTCAGAAGATAAGAAATACACTGTCAATTACAGATATTTTGCAAACCTAGCTAAGGGTTTCCAAACAGCAGATCTACAGAAAAAAGGCAGCAGAAAACTGGTTGCAATTCAAAAATCTTCAGAGAGCAATCCTTCATATCATGGGCATGTAAATGCTACAACCAAGTCAATATTGAAGTACTGTCAGAAATTACGCATGGTGTGTGTTAAGCTTATTTATCCAGAAGTCAAGCATGTGGAGAACAAGGTGTAATAAAGAATACACACACAGCATGGATGACTGCAAATACTGGAGTTACTCTGTTTTATGGGTAGATAACTGCTCTCAAACTCATTCACTTGCACAATCATATACTGTTCTCTTTGCTATGGATGCAAAGATGCAATTAAATTAATTTTTCAACGGCAAACAGATGCAACCAGAGGGTAACTCATTGACAGCTGCCATGCCTGACATCAGGCAGCCTAGGACAGAATGATTGCTGCTGAAGCCAAGAGTTCGGTGTACAAACATATCCATGCAGACAGCTCGCCAAATAACAACCATCTGCCACTCTGCTAGCACCGGTTCAAAACGCTCTCTCTACCTAAGGAGAGGAACTAAATACATCCTGCAATGACATCATTGAAAGGAAATATTCCACTTGATGTTAGGGTAGCAGACTGCCGCACCCACAGTGCTGCCAATGTCACTGTGCTAAATATTAACTAGATAGACAGGAAAACTTGGAAACATGGTAGTCACCTGGTGTTAATAAGATCTGAGAATATATGCAGTTGTGGAAGCTACACAGAGACTAACAGAATATACATAGGTCCGTGAAAGATAATCTTAGTATAAATCTCCATAGTCCACAGATTTCCAGGGCATGGCTGCAACGAAAACTACATCCTGACATGGAAATGGAAAAGATCCACTGACTGAAGTGTTTATGCACATGCACTTTTACAGACTCTGTAATTAAATGCAAACACCTGGAGGATAATATACATTATAACACAAGGTAAACAAATACATAATTATGTACATTTGCCTTCTCGCAGACATAAAGGCAATTCGGAGAAAATAATATAGACCTAACATATGATCTAAATGAGGAAAATTTGCATCACTTAGCTTTTTCATCATCTAAAGAAAAACAGGAATAAAGATGTACATTTAAGAAATATAATGCAAATACACTCTTACTGGAAAAAAAATGCCTTTTCGAAAAATTGTATCACTGTAAATGAATTTAAGCTTTTAAAGGCAATACAGAAGAAAATATTAAACAGATCAGAGTAAATTTAAAGAAATCCAGACTAAGAAAATCAGGAGGGTGGAATTATGTGTGCTTTCCGTTCCTGTCTCAAAACATAACATCATTTTACAGGTTGTCCTGACAAGACCTGTCCTCAAGTCAAAGCAATGGTGGCTATTATCTTATTTACAGAACAGTTAACAGTCTTACAAACATCTCTTACCATGAAATAAAACGGTTTTATTTTCAACCAAAGATACAGAAAAACTTAACAGCCATAAAGTTCACACATATTTGAAGAAAGTCCTTCAGCTTTCCAGAAAATTAACTCTATTATTCGTTATATTGAAATGCAAGTGGACAGAATGCACTGACTGACAGTTTGAAATAAGGTGAAAAGTGAGAACCTAACTGGAAGTTAACTGTCCTAACAGATCTTTTAGTTCATGACCTTGTACCTTTCAGAAACAGCAGGGAACTCTAAAGGTTTCCAACATCATGTTACATTCACTATTTGCATATCTAATGTTTTATTAGCTGTTAATTTATTCACTATCCATTAACTCCATTTAGCTTTTCTGACTCCCATTAAAAGTGAATAATATCTGCAGTGTATTCCAGAACAATTATTTAACGGTTGGCAATTAAATAAAACCAAGAAAAGAACCCAAACAACTTCATAAAGCATGTGCTTTAACATCAGAAATCGATTTGTACCTCATCTGTGTTGTAGACAATCTGCAGCCCCGAAGAGATCATCTCAACCAAATAGAGGAGAAATAACGACACAGCATTTATCTGAAGTAATTAAAGACGGAAAGGAAATTATAATTAACTTTATGTTTATTGGAGTCACACAAACAAGATAAATGTGGTATTACTCACTAACAAGGATGGACTCAGTAAAACATAGTTTTGGTTCTTCAAAAATACTGTCCTCATCTACCAATATCCTTGACATGGAAACAATCAATAGGAAGAAATGCCACAAGCAAGCATTGTCCTCTAAAACTTCTGCTGCAGTACCATTTTAAAAAATTGTTTACAATTATGACATTAAAATGTTTCTGCTTCGATACACTGCTTTGAGCCATAGGCAATCACTTCAGCCACAAGCTGTTTCACGTTTACATATAGGACCATTTATTAGCAAGTAGAGCACCAAGACGACAAGCAGCACATTGACTAGTACACAGCACCTAAAAAGCAATTTGCTTTATCTCTCGCTGGAATTTTAGCATTTTCAATTGACAGAGATATAATTACAACATTCAGACATAATTGTGAAAAACTGTTTTCTTTTGTAGCTGTGTGTAGCGTTTATTGTTAACAATAATTACCTTCAGCAGTTGTACAGATGAGCATCAAAATGTCAATTCATTACTGACTCAAACTGCTTTGTTACAGAGAATTCTAGTATAATTGAGAATCTGTACAACTTCAATAGAGAAAGTTTATCACAATAACTTGCTTCAATGAGCTATAAAGCCACAATCTCAGTATATGAAATTTAAAGAAACCACCTAGAACAAAAGAAGTGGATGCCTATCTGAAACATAGTAGACTACGGTTCAAATTCTAAAAATTCCAAAACACTTAAAGTCCACTAACTCCAGTTCCTTAGTACAATCTGAAAAGCATCAAGTACAGCAATAACAGCGGACCAGCTAGGTAACATATTCCATTCTTACTATCATACATCCCCACATTCCAAAATTATTTTCTCCTCCTGCAGAGAAAAGATGTGCATTTTCTGGAAACTTCACAAAAGTCCAAAATGCTAACTTATGATAACTCCAGAAATCATTTTTTCTCAGAACATACATTTCCTGATCCAACACGTTTATTGTGCAAACTAAGTGATATTCTGATAATGAAATTAAATAATTACCAACCTATTGTCATTTCTGAATATTTTCACTAGCAATTTCTGAACATAACAGGGTACATAGAGATATAGAATGCAAAAGAACAAGGTCATGAATGCAAAAAGGGGTCTGAAGGTAAAGAGAAAAAAAAAGAGTAAATCAACATTTTAGAAAGTGAAAGACAATACAACAATCAAATATGCAATTGATAAAAAAAATTTAACAACCTGCTAAACTAAAAAAACAACAACCCACCTTCACAAATCCCACAGTTATTTCAGTACCTTCTCACCAAAACATACCACTGTATTATATTTCAAAAGTCTCTCGCCAAAAGATGCAGAAGGAATCTCAGTTTTATAGTACAATGCAATGAATATAAATCTAAACAAAATGAGACAGCCGCATAATGAAAGAATGGAGACAACAATACAATTATTTTAATCATCCAAACTTTCATGTTATTGTACCTGAAGGTGACCATATTCCTTATGGGAGAAGACCTCGTCTCCAGTGTTTGCACTGAAAACAGAATGAAGACATCCAGATGGTTTTGGGTCTTGCTTAAATTGCTGAACCTAAAATGAGTTCAAGACAAAATGAAATTAGAGTAAATAATTTCAGCACATTTGGCAACCATAAAATCACTATATAACTCAGGTATTTCAAAATTACTTGATATGACCACTATGTAAAACTTGGAAACAACAGCTCCTGAAATTTACCAGAAAGTATTTCACACATACTTTAAGTACACCTATACTTAAAGAATACAAATATCCAATGCATCTGCCTAATCTCTTTGGGTTTGGTAGAAAAAGCCCTCTGTAACAGACAGGTACAGTCACTTTCATCTTCCAGACAAACACCACCTCACTTCACTGGAGCTGAAATCTTAGCAGAAAGTGTGTTGAAGCATAGTATGCCTACACCGAACTCACAGATCTGAAATACGTGCACAGAATGCTGACCATAAACTCTCAGCTGGCTCAGCACCTTTCCCTAGGAGAGCACCATGAATTCCAGCTACTCTCTCACATATGGGGGAACTCCCTTCCTCACCTTCCTGGCCGCCTTAAGAAGCCTGTATCCATCCATCCATCACAGTGTTCCAGTCACTTGAGCTATCCTCCTGTGATCCCATGACATCACAGCCCTGGAGCTGCACACAGGCTTGACTTCTCCTTCCTGTTCCCTATGCTGCACACCTTAGCACACGGGTGCTTCCGAGAGGCAAGCATGCCGAGTTCCCAGAAAGGGTACAGGAGCTTTCTTGCCTCTGGTCCAACCTCCCTACACAAACAGGGACAACTCTACCTAGGTCAAGTCTCCCATTGCCCCATCGAGCATGACCTTGAGTGAATCCAGGGTTGGGGCCTTGACTATGTCTCTGGCCAGTCACTTCCAATGATCTATTACTCTTATATTAAATATTTTTTTTTCTAATCATGATCCATAACATGTAATTGTTATTGTTTTACCATCTGACAACATCATAAAAGGTTTTAAAACAAAAAAGAAATAAGTATTGTTATTAACAATTATAATTTTAAAGCCTTCTAGATTATAGATCTACAAAAGAGTTCAGAAATTGCCACATGTAGACCAGGTAACAAAGGAAAAGCTGCAAGCTTCTAAGAACACCGAGTACAATGAATACCCAGTGTAAAAAAGTACATGGGAAAAAAAGATTTCTTTAGGTGAGCACAGTTTGTGACATTGAGATGTACAGTGAAATGTTTACAGATACTGGAAAGCAAAGCTGACAGCAAAGAAAACAAATGGACAGGAAGAATAGCACCCTACTCTAAAATGCCTTTATTCCTGGATACTATCATTGGACCTCAGAATGAGCCACTATGATACAGAATCTCTTACGACAGAGATGGAATGCAGCAAGATGATTTATTAATACCAGAGGTTAACAAAGGAGTGAAATAAGAGCTACAGTGGTTTTAAAGTAATTTGATTCCTTTTTTGTTGTGAAAATACGTCTGCTACCATGCGAAACTATGTCAGACAAGCTGGATTGTCACAATAGGGCAGAGAAAGGAAATCAAATTCACAAAGAAAAGAATGAAGGTAACAAAAGAAGATCCTCCCCCATAATCCCTCAAGTAATGCTGTCCTCTGCAACTGTTTTCAGATTTTCTAACCATCACTGCCAGTACCTGGCTCACATTTCACAACATTTTCAACACGGGTCTTATCTTCGTGGGATGTTCTTCTCTACCAACAAAAAAAAGACTAGCAAACAGCATGTACCACAGATGCAAGGAGGAGAATGCTATTTTTTGGAATTACCATGTTGTTCTGCCAATGACCAGGCCCAACAAAAATGATACAGCCAGCAGGAAGATGAACCAATACACAGACTGTATTGTAAGCAAAAAGGACATTCCATGAATGACCACTGGGGGTACAAACAGATCAATCAGCTGGTACAGAATCGATGCCACCCCCAACAATCCCACAAAAGATGTGACTTGGCCTACAACAGGTGGTACAAACAGAGACCCGAGGTTGCCCACAGTTGGCATGGGAAACAGCCAGACCAGCCAGTTAAACACATAAGAAAAAGGTGCCCACATGGCGACTCTCACCTGATCGACCTGCGTTCACAAAGGTCTAAACAGACCGGGGCCCAGCTCCAGGGAGAGTCAGGAGGTCTGCCCTGAACCAGGAAGCTCTGGGGAGTGCACTCCACAGACAGACACTCCTGACTCCCTGCCAGTGGTCCCAGCTTTTATCCCCAAGCAGACACCTGACCTTTGTCAACTCCGTGCGGGACCCCTGGGGCTCATTTCCCTTATGGCTCTCCCTGCAGGGCCGGCCGCACCCTGGGGGGAAGCTATAAGGCAAACTCACCACCTCTGTATGAAGGGCTGTGGGAATCACCCATATGTCAACCTTAATTCGGGGCTTGGGGTTCAAACCCCAGCATTTCACATGTCTAATCCATGAACACATTCAATATATTTCAGAATGTAACTCATATGTTCATTAGCAAAATAGAATAGAACACTTGCAATTTTTGTCATAAGCAGCATCATCTATTCCAGTCATGCATTAGGTATATATAAACCATATTATTTAAAAATATCCTCCTTCTACATGAGGTCAGCACATACAGAGTCCCTCTGAATAAAGCCCAGTTTGACTTAGTTTTGTTAGGTACAGGAGACTGTTTATCACTGCACTGTAGGAAGACAAAAGCATTCATAGTAACCAAGGCAAACACTGACAACCCACATGTCAGCAGTGGGAGCCCTGCGGTAAATTAATGCTCATTATTCCTATCTGCACTCGCCATCCTCAAAACAAACCACTCAAGTCAGAGAGAAAAACAACAGCTCAAACGTTACAAGATCAATTTAATTCAAGTTTATTTAAAAATATAAGACTTCAAAGAAACAGATTAAGAAAACTGAGAAAAAAAATATCATGTCATCATAAATACAATTGGCGATACACATGCCAGTGTGTGATTTGCTTATTATTAGTATTACCGATGCCACATGCCTATGGACTTCTAAGTTTCAGTTTGTGTGCTTAAAAGTGATGGAAGCTACGTGGTAATGTGAAAATTATTTTTAATAATACAGCTAAAAGTCAGTGACATAAATATCTATATTCCATGTGATTATTTGAAGTTTCAACTACCTGCAGAATTACTGCTAACTACTAAGCAAAATTAATCTACCACTTTTAAATTGTTATAAGAAGCCCTGAATATTCAAGAATAATCAAGGGTATATTACATTATATGAATAAATCAACTGTATTATAACGCAAGCAAATTAGGCTGTTCCCTTATTCATTTTGGGTTGCTGCCCTTCTGAATTTACATCATTAGGTCAAAGGATATCAGAAAGTGGCTGCCAAAGAAAACAAGCTAAATAATAAAAAACCCACTCAGGGAGGGAAAGCAAATGAAAAGCAATAACCAAGCTAAAAGCGCAAAGAAAACTCCAGTCTGAGCTAAAAGAAATTCTACATCTTCCCATTTAAGCCCTAAAAAAAAATTAAACAAAAATATTACTAATGGTCCAATATTTAAATGGGATAAAAACCTGCAGAAGGAACCCAAAGAAGTTTCTCAGAATTAAGTGAGTGCTTATGTCTCCAGTAGTGTTTTACCTTATCGGCCTGACGCATGTAGCAGTACAGAATTCCTCTCATACACTTTATAGCAGAATGCTCCAGTTCATGAGTCCTTCCCTTGTCATCATCAATACGCCTGGGTAAGAGAGATAACTCATAAAATAAATTCGAAACGCATTAAGGGGAATAAAAAAGAAAAGGACACATTAGTACTTTGAACTTGCTCCTTTCATTCTTTCTTCTAATTTTTTTCTATTATTTTTTTAGTTTTCAAATGCTTTCGTTTCAGCACCAGAAAAAGGTATTAAAATAAAGGTGCAAAGATTTCAATATAAGGAAGTAATAATTACACATCCTAAACGTTCATTTCCTTATAAAATGTGTGTTAGTTTCTCAACATTTTGAAACCCATTAGATGTCAGGCGCAGCATCTTCAGAAGTAAGCACAGATCTCTGTTCATCTTCTCTTTCAAAAAGTATAATTTTTTAACAACATTTCCTAGGAGGCAATGTGAATAACTGTTCCTTCAGACTGGTATCAGAGGTATAAAATCTAAAGTAATAAATGGAGACAAAAAGCAACTAAAAACCCATATTTCTTAAGGTCACATTATGCCACACCAACTTCTAACCTTCCTCTCTGATGAGTCAACAGCTAAAATGGAAGAAACAGAAAATAACAACTGAGACTGCCCAGCCTTTGTACATAGCAAGGAAAATAGTCACTATTATTTCAAAAAAATACATTTATCAGCATTCAAGGATTCAGTCTCCTGCAAGTATCCAGATTGTTACTACATGCCAATAAGCTTGCTTCTCCTCTGAACACTCTTACTACCTTTAAAATGAGCAGTATTCCTTGAGTACAGTTTGCCACAATAAGGTTTATTTTTAGTGGCATGCATTAATTCCTCTGTTTCAGAATATTGGTACCAACTGAATTCTATGAAAACATGTTTACTTACCAGACAGAGTGGCATTTTTTAACCTAGTAGCTATGCAAATATTTTTTAATGAGATTTGGACACATGTAGCATCTCTATAAGTTTACAAAACTATTTTTGATAAAGCTTCATGTCTCAAAACATTCCTAGGGAACTGCATAACAGAAAGCATGTAACGTGGCAGAAATGCAAGTTTCACAGTGATTCACCTGTAAGCAAGGGCTAATGCCCAAGCACATGCAGCACAGTAAAGATTGTCGTGTACTTTTGCCTTTCGGTTATCCCCATATGTCTTTGTAGGAAACAGACCTGTAGTTGGGCTTTGGTAAAGCAGCAATGTTGACTTAACTGGAAAAATAAAGAAAGAAACGATGCTATTAACAACACAGATTTCTTCCAGCTTCTACGCAGATCTTCAGGAATAAATCAAGATGGGAACAACCTATTAGAGCATGCACAGAACAGAAAAGGAAGAGAGGTAAAGTGAAAGACACACAAAACCATTTCGTTACATTGGGTTTTTAGACAAATCAGACCTTTTTACAAAAGAAAACTAAAATAATAAGTACTCAAAGCTATTTATATGGCTCCTTTCTAGTACAACCCACTCAGTACAGAATCTCTACAATGTAACCCAGTAATTTTCCTTTTATGAAAAGAAACACACACACACACAAAATGGGCTCCAGTATGGCAACTGCTCCCACCAATAATTTAAATAATTGAACTCCTCAGAACTCCACATTCATAAAAATTAAATTTTTAACTTCGGCCAGATGATAGTATCAATATTTTTAAAAAAAGGAATGAGTAAGGAAAGAAAAAGGATGACTACAACTATTTAACTCAGTACCTTGACATAAAAATAGAACAATAGTTGTCAAAACTGAATTAGAAAAAATACTAAATATTACTGTCATTCTTGCTATACTTTAATAGTTCACATTTTGTGATTTGTTTTCTTAAACTTCCATAATAACCAGCATGCTACAAGATTGAAACTGGGCTTAATGTCCTTGAACATGACCCTTCAAACAATAACCTGCCTGTTATAAGACAAGAAAGCAATTTTTTTCCAGAATGTTATCAAGCATGAATTTTTAAAAAGCCTCTTTATTGTCTATGTATTAGAAGTTAAGTGTTGTAAATGAAAATTACAGAGGTTTATGGCTTTTTGCATTATATTCTTCAGTGACTTAATACCTTATAGGAAGAAAGTAGATGAAAAGTTATGTGAAGAAAACGATATAGATTATTCTAAAATAAAGTATAAATTCAATCATAAATTTTTCCTGAGGTAGCAGACTGCTTGCAACATAAGTGCCTGACAGATAAATAGCAGCACCACCACAGATTTGGTACTGCCAAGCATTAGAAGTACATTGAACAGTCATTTTCTCAGCAAGAAAAAGCAATGTGTCTATGGATAGACCAGGCCAATCTGGCAGATTTCACTTCAAAAGGTCTCATTCCACATTTTTAGAACAATGGAAAAGTTGTTCAGTATTCCATACCCTTGCCTGACTAAAAATTACATTTTAAACAGTCAGGTGCACAGCCATCAAAAAAAAAAAAAAAAAAATCAGAATACCTGCAGGACTTGACTACAGCACAAACCCCCAAAACCCAAAACAATCAAAATACACTGTTGCTTCTTTAACGTGTATGTTTTTGGTTTTAAATGATCTCATAATGAGAAGAAAATCACTAAGTTAACCAACAGATAAATTTCAGCATAAAAATACATTATGGCACCATTACCAATAAAAATGTTTTCTCACTGATCACCTGCCACTGTTCTAAGTACTAAAAGAAAGCTTTTTTCCATTTAAATGTTTCCTCAGCTGTACCTGGCTAAGGCCAAAATACTAAGCTACCACTCTATTGAGAATAATACTAAACTCAGTCTTACAGGCAGACTAGATTTCCAATATACATTTCCAATTTCAACAGGAAGTACAATTCAGCCCTCTAACTTTTGCAGCTTTCAAACTCTCAGCAGAAATTTAGGAAACTACCCTCAAGCACAAATAAGGTAGCAATGATATGTAATATGCAAATATAAATTCTAATTCATATCTGGGTTAGTTCAAGCACCAAAAACCGTCAACAGATAACCCTTACCCCTCCCCACCCAAGACCATCAGGTGCAACTCAAGAATTTATTCTACCACTTGACAAACACAGATGATAATTTTGAACACTACTTACAAACCATGATTATTAAAGCCATGTATGAACTGTCCAAACACAAGCATTGTATTAACACAGGAATCTTACGAGGAATTGTAATGACAGAATCCTGTACCTCTCAGAAAATAAAAAGCCTTATTAAAGACTGTAGATAATATTTTAAGCCAAAGTTAATTACTTTCACAATCACAACTGTAAATATTTTAGTAAGTTACAATGAAAATCTTTCATGGTGGGAACAATTATTAACTTACCAATTTTGTAATAATGATCTAATTTATCCCACAGACTTTCTCCCTCTGGTTTTAGAAGGTTAATACTTTTAAGTGGCTCATAAATCGAACCTAAAAAAAAGAAAAACCAAAATCAAGATGAGAATGAGTTTTGTGATTCTACTATTCCTAAGAATTTTTTTTTTCACAGTTGTTATACAAAAGTATAACTTACTGAACTTCAATTCAAACCAAATTATCTCAGACAATAGATTTCTATATACATTGTTTTTACACTACCTGTCTGCAAAAACAATACCTCCATCTGGATCTCTAATGCCTTGCAGGTATTCAGCTGCAGCAAACGCTACATATATGTTTAGTTTAATTACCGAAGACAGCCTATTAAACATCCAAAATTTTCTAGGAACATTTTTTATAAGTATGCTACAGGCAGATTTCTTGAAGATACGTAGAAAAAGAGAAGGAAGAGGGACAGAAGGAGCCCAGATTTAACTATTAATTCCCTACCTGCTTTCTGAAGTGGTGAAGACATACAACACCATTACTGTGTTACCCCTCCCAACCTCCCTTTCACCTACCACCAAACAGGCCTGCCTGATTTCACATCTTGCATCAAGAAAAGGGCTAGCTCGTTCTCACATACTACCAAAGCCGGAACAACCTATCCAACAGACAACACCCCCAAATTACCTATATTCCAGAAAAACACTATGTTATCAAGTTCACATCTTTCCTTCTCAGTGACCAACATATTGGCTGCTTCCCTACTTGCACCTGAAATTTGTTTTCCTGATAGGTGGAATGAGCCACCTACCAGAAAGATCTGATTCCTTAAAAATTACAGGGGTGAACCATCTCTACCTTCTGATTTAAGAGTAACATACTACTCCCCCTTCCACAAATCCCTTCGGCTCTATTCCGCGTGCTGGATGGCAAGAACTCCCACAGAGCCGTGGGATGAGAGGGAGAAGGAGAATCCCCCTTTCCGGACTGCACGCTGTCCCTCTGAAAAGCGGGGACGCGAGGCGCCAGGGAAGGCCAGCCAGCCGAGCAGCACTGGCAGGCAGAGCAGAGCACTCCTATTCAAGTTGCCTCTTTGGCATGCCCAGCACATATCCAAGCATTAGACAGGGCATTGTCCACTTACAGGACTCTCATCCAAACAGAACGAGTGCATGTGGAGTGGTGACAGAAGCCTTAGTAATCGAGTCCTTTGGCGCAGATTTGAAAATGTTTCTTGCACCTAAAAGAACTCAAACCTGACTCCCCCTATTACTATTACTACTGCTTCACAATCATAGTAGTTAAAAAAAATCCACCCCTTCCTGAGCAGAGCCCTGTGGCTGGGCTGGGCATGGATTCTCTGGTGATGCTCACCAACGCATCCCAACTTCCTCTAGGGCCTTTTCTTTCCTCTTTGGCAGAGGTCATGTTACAGACAACACTTGCATGTGGGGAGAGGGCTTGAGGGGAACCACAGAGAGCCCAATCTATTTCAGTTGCCTAAATAAACAAAGCTAAAAGAAATGAAGTTGTTCTGTAAAGGAAAAGAACTTATATCACATCTTTTGTATCTTCTGTTTAAAAACCAACATTCTGAACCAATTTAAATAAATTTTTCAAAGCAATTTAGTTTTTCTACTTCTTTTTGCCTAGGAATCTGTGCCCACAAGGAGATTTGGAATTTTAATTGTTATATTATCGATTTGTTTATCCTGCAAAAGCACATGTTATAGTGACCTGAAGTAATAATAATCTTATAGGGTGATTCACTGAAAGCAGGACAGAGTACACAATGGAAAAAATCTTCTCTAAAGCACTTACTGCATAAAAAGTAGCAAATTTATAAGAAATAGTCACTTGCTAGATCTTCAAAGGGAAGAAAACACATCTAAAAGTAAGAATCTTTTTAACTTTAAAATGCATAGATAGCACACTGTCCTTTGTCTGTGAATTATGTTCAGAATGTCTGTTTCTTGCAGACTGCTAACACCCAGTAACGCACCATGAAAAAAGCTGAGTATTCACAGGCACACACACAAGTCAAAAGTTTCTAAACGAAAATTGCTCTAACTTACGTACTTACCAGACAATCTGTGACCCTCTGTGGCCAACAGAGAAACAAAATAAAGTTATCATGAACAAAATGCATTTTTCTGTTTAAGGGTATTCAAAGATTTCAACTTTGTGCAGAAAATGACTCAACAGAATAAAGAGCACGAAATATAAAACCACCGTCATCTACAAATTAAGCTCTTCTGGATGCCTGAAACCTTACTAGCAGAAATACATTAAAACAGAGTAGACTGTGGGTGAAACAAAAAGGTGAAATAAATTCCAAGTTCAAGAAAATCAACAAAAAGTTGTAGGTCTTAAAAGTATTCCTTAAAATTACTCCTACAAGTAGGAGAACTTGTTTAACGGAACACTGAAAATCAAAACTTTCCACATACTCTTCATTAATTCCTCACTAGCATCTATATAGTTTCTGTTTTGCTTGGGTGTCTACCTCATTTTGCTCAGCAACTCCTGTGGTACCTTATATTTCATTAGTAATACAGTCTAATCAGAAGCGAGAAACAGACAGGACAAACATGAAGCTGGCTGCTCCTTCTGCATGGTTTTGCAGTGAGACCACAACTTGGTAGAAGCTATTTTTAGGACAGCTAAAAAAAAAAGCCTGTCTATATGCTTTTCCAAAATCTGCCTAATAGTTCATTGCAGCAAGACAAAAACCTGCCACAGAAAGCAATTTTCAATTACATATTTAAAACAGGCTTTCAAACTGGAAAAAATGACAGTGGGAAGACTGGAACACTCAAAGATAAAAGAGTGATATATGCAAACAGTAGCGCTGAGTTCTCAGGCTGTATGTTAACATCCAGAAGAAACAGAATGAAGGTATTAATTTCAAATACTATTTTCCATAAATATCTCATTTCATTGTAACTGTACAGTGTGAGTTTCATTTTAGGTAAACAAACAGATATGCTAGGAAGGAATGTAAAAAATATTTGGTTGATTTAGTATTTCTTCAGCCGTACGCCAGTGTAACAACCCTATAGAAAATTTAAATAGGGTACATGGTAGTTCAAAGTTTCTTCCACAAAGAATGCAGTATGCCCTTTATTTTCTTACATCAGAAGTAGATTGCAGCAAGTCAGCAACTACTTCAAAATCCATAAAAACAATACACAGATAGGAAATCTGTGTTGTCTCCCGCATTAATATATTTTATGTGTGATAAGACTCAAAATCTTTATCCCAAGCCCAATTAAATCCCTGTTTGTCTTCAAACATTGCACTGACTGAATACCCTATATCCATACTTCAACTGCAAATTAATTCCCTTTCGTTTCCTACCACTACAAGTTCCAGAGTAATATGATTTCACCATTCTTCAAGTTGAAGAATTACTAAAAAAGAATAGTCATTTCTTTTAAAAGTAGTTACTAGAGAACAGGAAGAAATCTAAAATGACCCAATTACTGATAGCAGAGACATCAAAAAAGTAAGAGACAAGATATTTCAGACTTATCTCAGACACCAAGACTATAAGAAAACATTATCCAGCAGACAAAACTCAACTACAGAACAATTTCAGGGGGGAAAAAAAAAAAATCTACAATTTCATTATCTCTTCTAAGCAGAATACAAAACTAAAGGGAAGTTCTTTGACGTAAGCTATTAGTGTAAATACAACCTCTGAAGGCTGATGTCATCCTGATGTTAACATACCTTCACATCCACTTCATTTTTATTCCAGCTAGACTTCAGATTAGCATTAACTGCTCTTCTGGGAAGAGCTATAAATTGCCCAAATATTAAGTTTTAAAGGCTGTGGCAAACATTTTGAAAACCTGTTCCCAAATTTGAATATGCAGAACCTTTGAACACCCACATATCCTTGAAGATGGCAGCAATTGCAGATATTAAAGAAAAAAGGCATCAGAATGGAATCCTGGACCTAGTCTATGGATAAAGATTTGCATATTTCAACAAGGATTGATTATTCACATCTTTGAAGTTAAAGAAATTAAAAAAAACCAAACAACCAAACACACATTTCCCTGAAGTCTAATCACAAAACAAACAGAAGAAATATAGCAAGAATTTTATTTCCAACATTTCACATGCTAGAACAAAATAAAATGTTTCCTTGCATAATTAAATAAGCACAGACAAAAAAAAAAAAAAAAAAAAAAGCTGAGAATACCAATTTCTTTCTACATTCAATGAGAATAAAACATACCCACAGTCCTTTAACACACCACTAGTTCTGGATGTAATCCAACACTTGAGACATGAACAAGTTCTGGATCCCAGATCACAGTAACTTTCATTACCCAGCATTAGTACAGGCAATATCATCTTCACGTTACAGAAGTTATTTGGACCAAAGAGGATTTCAATTCTTCACACAGCAAAGTTTAAGACAAGATATCATATGAACAAATCAAACCATAACCTCCCAATATCACATTTCCTTTCCCCCAAGACCTCTCCAGTAATCTGTCCTGAGCTCAGACTTAATACAGAAGTGAAGAAAAACACTTGGATTAGAAACAATTTATTCTAATAGAAGCAGATGTGTTTCATGGCTGACAGCTAAGTCCAAATCCATGTAGTTGAGCAAGGTGACATCAGAAAATAATTTTCAAATTTTCAGAAGCACTTGCTCTAAAAGGAAAATTACCTTCTCACATATGTGAATATCTGTACTCTGACTCTGTGAACTTAACACAGACCAACTGTTTCGTTGCTAGTGGGGACTTTTAATCACTACTTACTGCTGGCCCTGCTTTGAGCAAGAGTCTGGAGCAGATGACCTCAGAACATCCTTTCCAAACTCAACCGTTCTACGACTCAGTTAAAATATGGTAATGAAACCCCAGGAGAAGGACTGGGGGAGGAAGAAGGAGGTATTATTCTGTCTGAATAAACTCTAGGAGCAAACACAAGGTACAAAGTGTTACCAAGGTTGAGTGATGATAACAAGAGGTAAAAATGAGTAAAACCTTGTAATAGATTCTCTTATGTAGTTCTAAAGTGACAAAACTTTTCAGCTATCGTTTATCAAGAAAAAAACATGTTAAGACTACGCATATAATTCAATTATAATTTCATGGAAAAATAAAAAATACGTACCAATTTATTTTGTCCTTTATCTATTTTCTCATCACCTGATTTCTCTCTACAGTATATTATACTTAACAGAAATACCGGATTTCAGGATTTACAATAACTAATGACACCCAGAAGTTACTGAACACCAGGAATAAAACACTGATCATCATGCCAGTATACAGGAGCTTCACATAAGCAAAGCATACCAGAATAACAACGTCTGTGACACAAGCATTGTAAATGCTACAAGTGAGGCAGGCAACCATTCAGGATATTCAATGAAGTCCTTGCCATTTCTGAGAACTCAAACCAATAGTCCTTAAAACCATTAAAAATGTTTACTTTGAATTGTAACAACGGAAACATCAAGTATCAACAAAACAATTAGGAAAGACTCGTTTTTTGATTACAATGTCAAGACTTCACATGTCCTTTGACATTAAGAGGAGCAAACCAGAAATGTCAGAGGGGCAGGGCAAAGTGACTCAGCTGTGGCAAGCGACAGCTGAAAGCTGCTCTCCTCCAGCCCCGCCTGGCTGCCGGACCACTCTGGCGTTCCAGTGTGCACGGAGCAAGAGTGCTCTCCAGTCCTCCCCAGATCACCCAGCTTCACCTAGGGACACATCTGTTCAGTCAGACTCTTTGCAAAATATATTGAGCTAAATCACTAATGCTCTTGACACCTTCATATATTCTAGCTTCTGCTGTACACAAACAGAAGCTGTACTGGGGGTTTTATTTTGCTTCCACCTAATTTCCAGAAGTCAAGCTTTGGAACAATGACTGACTTATTAGAACTTTTACTTCTTTTCTCCAGACTAGTCATGGAGGTTTTTTTTCTTTTTTTAATTCTAAACACCATCCCAACGCACCATTCACACAACTATCACCTTAAAGTAGAAATTTCAGTTCAGTGATTGTTACACTGACAGACTCATAAGAACACAAAGGACAAACAAAATAGGAAGATCTGAACAGATTTCCATCTGAGTAGATTCAAATTTTCATACATTTTCACTGGAAGAGCTTAAATTTTTAAGCTATACTGAACAGTGCTAAAAAACTGGTAGCAAAAAACACTGCATGAAACACAAAACAATTAATTTTTGTTGAATTAAATAGCCACAAACAGAAACAAAACACAGAACTGCACACTTACCAAATTTTAAAAAAGCATGCGCAGATGAGGTTCTGTCATCATCCAAACTGGCCATTTCAAATTGGTGCAGCTAATCACAAACGTCTCAGGCTAAGCTACAGTAATTTTCAAAACTGTTTAGTAAATGTTAAAGGCAACCAGCATTAAATTAAGTGAAAGCAATGTTAGTGGAGTTATTAACATGATGGAGTGCACAGCACAAAGGCTAGTAAAGTTTCATTACATTTTATGTTTCCCTCTTCTATCCTAAAAAATGGTTTCACTTTGCTTTTTCTTCCATAAAACTCATCTGAGTAAAACAACAGGGTCTACACGTAGTCCATAGTTTGGGCATTAGACAATAGTTTTGTTATTCAGTAGGTACCTTGCTACTACTGTCAAAAGGTGCTTCATAAAATCAAGATTAAATAAAATTTAAATAAATAAATAAAATACAAATACTGCTTTAACTAGTGTTTACAAAGGCATTAAACAATAAGCACAGGGAACTCAAGTTCTGCTTATGTAGTACTGCTTTCATCCCCTCTGGAATTTACACTAGGATGTTTCTTTGAGTCATATTTATTGCTTACTGCACTAATGATGACAAGTTTTTTCAAATCTTTAAAGAAGTTTATAGTTTTTAAAGTAATTAACATTTCTGAGGTTGCAGACTTGCCAGTTATGAACTATCTTTATAATTCCCTCATAAATGGTACTTATCACAGTAGCAACAAATAAAACAGTATTTTATTGCTAAAGGAATGGAAAGATAAAATTCTCAATAAAATATTGTTTTACTGGCAAAAATTTAATTCATATTTTAATATACATAAGCATGAAGATATGGATTATTTCCTACAGGATAAAGTCTTAAATGATACTTTGCTGTCAGCTATAAAACGTGACTCATTCATGCATTTCATGCACATGTGTCTATACTCCATGTTCACTATTTCTTACTCCAAGCATCATACTAAAAAGAACCTGAAACAGTACTATTTGTAAACTGGGACTCCTGAGCACAGACCTCAGCCAATTCAGAACTCTCACACCTGACAGATTGTATATAAAATTTGGGTTTCAAGCCATCTCTTTTATCAGAAAAGCATTTCAACTAAAATTATGTTTATTTCTTGAGTAAATAAATGTCTCCAGTTACTATATAAATGACAAAATCTCTATGCACAGGAAAGGAAGGAATCAGTTCTCTTTATGAGAGCCCTCATAGAGCCCCATTCTCTTTTCTCAGTGTCTGACCAGTCATTACCACAACAAAACCTATCAAATATACAAATCAAGAAATAACGATTGAGTTTTATAAGCATGTATAGTATATAAATACCACAGGGATGATTTGGGGAACATTTTCCATTAGAACATTAACAAATAAAGCCCTACTAAGACTGTTTTATAAAGAATTTTTTAAAAGGTCATTTTAAACTTTGGATATGCAAGCCAACTGGGTAAACATCCTTGCACTTAGGCCGGAACGTAGCTGCCAGGCAGACCATGTTCACAACAAGGAATTCTCACGTTAATAAAAAACTGCCTGTATCCAAGGGAAGCCTGGCAAAAGGTGCTACCCGTGCGCCAGTGCCTGCAATCTTAGAAGACCTCATCCGCTCCGCTCCACGAGCGTATAAACCCGCGGCACTACTACCGGAGCTGCTTTCGCAGCCCTGCTGGCAAACGGCAC